CCTGCTCCTGTCTTCTCCTAGTCACTCCCTTATGCACTGAAAGGAGAATTTCACTGCCCTGCACTTCAAGGCCAGGTGCCTCTCCACCAGACCGTCAAAGGCAAATGATGGAGGATAGAGAGACAGGTGTTCACTAGGCTGGCCATAAGGAGAGGAAGGGGCTGACAGCTGGGGAAAAGAAACTGTAGTATCAGTTGTTGCAAGTAGAACTTGGCCCAGCTTTCCCTCCCTTCCCAGACACCCCAGAATTGAGAGTCCCAGTGCCCCCTAGTGTCGACTTTCTATATACATCCCAGGGGTGGGGGAGTGCGGGGCAATGGGTAGGATATAGAGTGTAAAGGACAAACTGCCGCAGTCTTCTCATTGATGCTTCCAACCTCAGGAAGGGCTTACCCAGTGTAAAATAGCCCCAAGCCCAGCAGCCTTATAGAGGGCTTTGGCTGGGCAGATAGCTTTTGGTTTTGAGTCTCCAGCCCTCAGTCAAGGAAAATATACCATAGCTGCTTTCTTGTCAGTGGTCTTTGAGAGAAAGAGAAAACAAATCTAGAATTCTGTTCATTTGATAGACCAGGGGAGCTTTGCTATGGTAGGAGGTTTAGAAAGGGCCTTTCATGCATAGAAACCATGGTTGATATTGCTGCTCCCCTCTCCTCTGCCTCACAGAACTCCTGATTCTGTCTTCTTTCTCTCTCTCTATTTTTTTAAATGTTTAAATGGCTCTAATTTTTTGTTTTGATTTTTGAATTTACCTTTTGGAGTTCTTCTCATATGAATCTACTTGTTAGATTGTATTAATGAGTGTTTCTGGTTTGGGCATGGGAAGTGATAGGGAACCTGAAGTTATTTTGCAGTGGCTAATGGCACTGAGGAATTTCTTTTTTGGTGCATTTGGTTTACACTCATTTCCCCCCTAACTGTTAGTTCATTTGTAACAGTGGGTGAGTGTTTGGAGGAAAGGAGGGAGAAAGGAGGGATACTGTTTCTCCCATGAAATAGTCTAATTGGTTGGGGTGATGGCAGAGGGAAATGTAGGGGAGCCTTCCAGCTCACAGCCTAGGGCTGGGCTCTTAAACACTATGCCTAGTGTTTTCTGAATACTGTCTTCACGGAGCCCAGCTCTTACTCTCTTTGTACTTTACATCTCACCCCCACTCATTATAGATGCTCATAACATTCTTAAAATATTTTAGTACTTGTCATTTTTCTGTTTTCAGTCAACTAGAACACACCAGAGTCCCTTCCTCAGATGGCATAATCCTTTATAGGCTCTGAGCCTGTCTAGCCATCTCCTGTTGGTGTTATTACTCCCCATCTCAGGCTCTGAGATGATACTCAGACCCTAAACTGATTGGACTTTTTGGAGGAGGGTGCCAGTAGAGGTCAGAAAGATGTGGAGATGATGATGGAGAGAGATGTTTTTATTTTTTAGAGATGGTCTTGCTCTGTCACCCAGGCTGGAGTGCAGTGATGCAGTCATAGCCCACTACAGTCTTAAATTCCTGGGCCCAAGGGTTCTTCCCACCTAAGCCTCCCAAGTAGCCGGAACTACAGGCACATACTACCAAGCCCAGTGAGTTTTTTAAATTTTTGTAGAGACAGGGTTCTTACTATGTTGCCCAGACTGGTCTTGAACTCCTGTCAAGTGAGCCTCCCACCTCAGCCTCCCAAAGTGCTATGATTACAGGTGTGAACCTCCATGCTTGGATGAGATTTTTTTTTTTTTTTTTTTTTTTTTTTGAGACGGAGGTTCTTGCCTTCCTGTCGGCCCAGGCTGAGTGGCAGTGGGGCCGGGTCTTCGCCTCACCTGGGAAGCTTCCGCCTTCCCCCCGGGTTCACGCCCATTTCTCCTGGCCTCGCCTTCCGGAAGTAAGCTGACTACAGGGCCGCCGCGCACCCAGCCGGCTTAGTTTTTTTTTTTGTATTTTTTTTAGTACGAGACGGGTTTCACCGTTGGGTTAGCCAGGATGGTCTCGGGGGGGATCTCCTGACCTCGTGGAAATCGGGCCCGTTTTTTTTCTTTGGGCATTCCCCAATAAGGTGCTTGGATTAACCAGGCTTTTTGAAGCACTGCGGCCCCCCGCCGAGGATTGTTATTTTTAATTTTTTGATTTTGGGTTTTTTTGGTTTTGTTTTGTTTGTTTGTTTGAGACAGGGTCTCACTCTGTGGCCCAGGCTGGAGGGCAGTGGCACCATCATGGCTCACTGTAGCCTCGACCTCCCAAGGCTCAGGTGATCCTCCTGCCTCAGCTGCCCATTCCCCTGCCATCAAGTAGCTGGGACTGCAGGCGTGCACCACCACGTCTGGCTAATTTTTTTATTTTTAGTAGAGACGGGGTTTTACCATGTTGGCCAGGCTAGTCTCCAACTCCTGAACTCCAAACGGCTAATGTTTGTGTTTCTAATAGAGACAGGGTTTCGCCATGTTGCCCAGCCTGGTCTCAAACTCCTGGGCTCAAATGATCCACCTCGGCCTCCCAAAGTGCTGGGATTACAGGTGTGAGCCCCTGCACCTGGCCTTTTTAGTTTTTTTAATTTATTTTCTTTGAGACGGAATCTCACTCTGTTGCCTGGGCTGGAGTGCAATGGCGTGATCTTGGCTCACTGAAACCTCCACCTCCTGGGTTCAAGCAGTTCTCTTGCCTCAGCCTCCTGAGTAGCTGGGATTACAGGTGCCTGCCACCACGCCTGGCTAATTTTTGTATTTTTTAGTAGAGATGGGGTTTTACCACGTTGGCCAGGCTGGTCTCTAACTCCTGACCTCCAAACAGCTAATTTTTGTATTTTTAGTAGAGATGGGGTTTGCCATGTTGTCCAGGCTGGTCTTGAACTCCTGGGCTCAAATGATCCGCCTGCCTTGGCATCCCAAAGTGTTGGGATTACAGGCATGAGCCACTGCACCTGGCCCTTTGCAGTGTTTTTAACCAAAGAATTTGTAGAGTTGCCCAGACCAGGAATCCTGGTGGCTCTAAAGGGTAATAGACCTTGTCAGTAACAGACGGTGGGGGTGGTAGGAGGACATTACTCATACTGAAGATGAAGACCAGACTTTGCTGCTTCACAGGCCATGCCGGGGGTTGGGCCACTTCAGCTCCACTCCATTCGTTTTCCTTTCCTAACTTGACAATCAGTGAGCTCCTTCACCCTCCCTTAGTGCCTACTCCTGTCACTCCAATGTCAACCCATTGGGAATTGAGGCCTGCATGTGGGCTGTTACTTTGCGTCATACAGATGCTGTAAGAGGCCTTGCTGGAATGTCCTAGGAATCCCTAGTAGCAGTGGCTACTACTCTTCTAGAAAAGAACTATTGCCGCTGCCTTGTGCACATGCCCCACCTTCTGGGAAAGTGGCAGCATTGCGTTCATGAGGGGCTTTGCATTCTCAGCCAAGGGCAATAAACTTGGGTGGGTGATCTGGCCCAAACTTGCCCCTAGACTCGGCTAGCCCTGAATCAGCAGGCTTGAGAGAGGAGGGTGGGTGTTATAAAAGCCAGTCTGTAAAGGGTAAATTCCAAATCTTGTGCCTTGTTATACCAATCCTTTCTGATTCCCTTTTAAACCAACTACTCTTATTTTTGTGCTGCCTACATTTTCAATCCTCCCAAGCATTAGCAAATTCCTGAAATTTCCTCATTTGGTAGGCCTTCCATAGGAGTCAGCTATGGACTTCTATAGGAGTTGGCAGCTAAAACCAGACTGAGCTTCTTCCTTCCTTCTGATCTTTGCTGCACCTCCCAGGGGACGGTCCCCACATGACTATACAAAAGCCAGGTACCCTCATCACCCCGGTTACCCCTGACCTGATTGTTTTGAATAAACTTTCATTCTCCAAGCAGATCCCCAGATTTCCTTGTCCTTGTTACACATCTACCTCACAATCTCACAATTAAACAAGGACATATTCACCTATTTCTTTACTGTCTTCTCTATGAGGGTTGGGAAGGTGGGGGCTAGAAAAGGCTCATAATTTTTAAACTCTTGGGAATTTAAAAACTCTTGGGAATTTCTATTCCTACAATGTTTTCTCTGGGATTTTTAGCTCACTGATCACCCTAGAACAGTGTGAACTCTCCAGATAGGTCCTGCTGTGATAAGCCAGGGGAGTAGGCTGTGCAGTGACTGCTTAGGGTAATAAGTAATTGTTGGAGGACACCAGCATAGGAACAGAACTTAGAACTTAAGAGGACAAGAAAGCTGCTCGGTGGCTGGTGTATAGCTGTAAAGGTAACCAAATACCAAAGAGGGAGTCTGTCATTTTCATAAGGCTGGAAGCGAATGTTCCTTCTCTATCTTAACATACAGTTTAGGGGGTTCACCAAGACAAAGTTTCCAGGCTGGAGGGTAATACTTTTCCAGTCTCAGTGAAGCCCCCACTCCAACATATACCCTTTCTGGGTGGGTGAATACTTCTTTGCATGTGGACAGAAAATGTTTAATTTATACTTAAACACATTTTATGCATTTTTATCTGGAGACTTCTAGTTTTATACTCTTCCCACATCTATGCCAATGCCGTCATTCTAACTTACGCTTCTTTTCTACCCCGGTCTTTTCCTTGTCCTTCCCTACAACTTGGTAGAGGTCCATTTTGTCTTACTTCACACTTTTTTTTTTTTTTTTTTTTAATAAAACACAAAAGTCTACATTTTGGTGTCTTATCCGTGAGTGGAAAGTGGTAAGCTGGTGATGGTCCCACATTTGCTATGACAGAAACATAGTTAGGAAGCTGGGGCCACATCTCACAAGGCAGGACCTGGATACACTGAATCCCACTTTGCTCCAGCCCAGCAACTCAGCCAGACATTTAGGCAAGAGCACTAATAACCCTTTCCATCCACACAGAGGTGTGGAACAGGAGTCCAGCTTTTAGTACCGTTTGCACAGAAAAGGCGAACATGTTGTTCCCCTGCCTGTGGTCTCTTAAGCCAGTCATGACCATCCCAACGCCGTCTCCCCCTCAGGTGTACACGTAGAAGGGAAGATGAATACACAGAGTCTTTTGAATCTCTATCAAATGTGGTTTTTTTTATTCAACTGACAAGCACTTTTCTACAGCTGCACTTGTGGAACATCACATGGCAAAAACAGGAGTTTTTTCGCTAGACTTTTTTTTCTTTTTAACCTTATTAAAAATGAGATTGGTCCTAAAAATATAGAAAGAAATAAATTTAAATTCACAAAAAACTGTACATTATCAAAAAGTCACTAAAACACCACATTTGGTTATATAAAAAGTCCCTTTTGCTGTAAAAGGAACACGGAAACTTGTTGGTGTTGATGGTGTGGTTTCTTCCTGTCAACCAGACTGATGGAGGGGAAGCAAAAGGGCAGGGGGTGGGTTGTCTTTTTATCTTAAACCTGCTTTCCCTACCAAATACTCTTGTCATGAGAGAAAATCCACCTAGCTCAAGGGGGCAGTGAAGATGAGGAAAGAAAAGCAAGAAATGGCCCCTTTGATTATGCCCTATCCCTACCCCCACCCCACCCCGCTCCAGCCCCCACTTCTTCAAACTGAGGCTAGGACCCCACCCCGCCATATGAGTGCCTGGTCCCTAGGGAAAGAGATGGAGCTGGGAAAGGAACACAAAGCAGGAACCATGGAGATTTCACTCCCCCATCCACCTCACCTCCAACAATGAAATTAATCTAGTACATCTTATACCAGGGGAAAACTGCCAGGGGGAAAAAGCGGAGCCCCCAACTCTAACAGTTTCAACTGTCTAACACAAAGTTTGTTACAGCGCAGTTATTTAGATAAAATATAAATATTTATGCATAATATAAAGTCAATTCAAATATTCTTCAATCCACCTCTTATTTAAAAGCAAAAAAAAAAAATCTCAAATAAAATTAAAAGTTTTGAGGTTTATCTGACAGAAAAGGCGACTTTAGAAATAGGCTATGGGGGAGAAGGGGCATAAAGGAATAAAGGGGCTGCCCCAGGACCTACACTGCCCCTGCCCCCTTCAGTGGCTCTTCAGTGCTGCCAGAATACAAGGAATGCTCCACCTCACCTGGCACCCCTACCCCCAATGGAACATTTCTTGGATGCCTCAGCTCTCTGCTTGGGCCAGCCAGCAGCCACCTCCCCAGTGCAAGTACCCGTAATCTCTGAAGGGAGGGGCTCTGCTGAGCAGGAGAAGCAGGGGGCCAAGGGCCCATGGCTATAGCTGGGAGTCAGCAGCTTTCCTCTCATGTTGGGGGTTAACTTGGACACAGTCACATGTAGGGCAGTGATGGACCCAGAACCCCTCCTCCCTACTCTCCTGTGCTCCAGGGTCTCTGCTGCTGGGGAAGGGGTCCTGGAGTATGAAGTGAAGAAAAGCACAACTAAATGGGATAAGGAAAAGATCCAGTTCTACCACTCTCCCGTAGAAGCTTAAGATTCAAAACTACTGAGAGGAGAGGGAGTTCCTGCTGAAAGATTGCACAGTCTGAAGAGGCTGGAACAAAAATGACCAGGAGAGAGACACAGCCTTGTCTCCAGAGAAATTGTTCCTGTGGTTTCCCAAAGACAAAAAAAGTGATGGTTTTAAACAATGGGAAAAATGGGAATGAAAACAGATACTTGGGGAAACTGAATGGATCCTATCAAACAATACAGGGTCACAAGCACAGCATCTTCTCTCACACACACACACACACACACACACAACGTGCTCTCTCTCTGAGGCCGGCCCCATTGCTACCTGGCCTCCATCTTGGGGTGCACCCAAACTCAGCAGTAGTTGTCCCTGAGGAGTTCCCAAGAGGGTTTGGGAAGGAGGTGGGGAAGGAGGCTGGAAGGCCCAGGAGGCCTCCCTGCCCTCTCCCCAGCTACTGAGTTTCAGAAAAGGCTGGAAACTCAGCATGTGAGGAGCATCCAACGTCATACAGGGGATAGCTATCGGCAGGAAGATGGGGACAGAGAAAAAGACAGGGACCTCTGAACGTTTTTTTTTCCTTTGAAGGGAAAAGATTTGGGAGAAGAGAAAAGGAGGGAGGAACCCGTACACGATAGTTTTACATTATTGGATAAGAGAAAATCTGAAAACTGGGGGGTGGGAGGTGGGAAAAGAAAAACAGACCGCGAAAAGCAGGGAAGGGACTGAACATGGAAGCAGCATGTCCAGGGCCCGGTGTCCGGCGCGACACACTTGGGAGTTAAGTCCACTTTACTGGCCGTCACTGCGGGTCCGCACACAGTACAGAGTGTTTCTTGGTTTCACACATTCACTAGAACTATTGCTATTGTTAAATAACCCCAGAATGCTGGGGCACGTACAGGGGAGGAGAGGAAGCAGGGAGGAGGAAGTAGGGACTTCTTTCCCCGTCCCCATTTTTAATTAGCAAATAAAACAGAAAAGAAAAATTTTTTTTCTTTCTTTTTTTGGCTTTTAGTCCAGAAGGACCTCATCTCTGCACCTCTTATTTGAGGAGCAAGAGGAGGAAAGGGAGAAAGGGATATAGGAATAAGAGGATGTGGGGTGCTGCCAAGGGCAAGGTCAAAAATCAGGGTTGTATCTGACTTGAGTCTGGACCCAGGGCAGCATCAGCAGGTGAAAATGGCAGGTTTTTTGTTTGGAAGGTGGGGGGGAGATGCCACAAGGTGACTCCCCACCTCCCTTGCCTCACAGATTGGCCTGTTTTCCCTGATAAAACTCCTCCCAGCGGCTCTCGAAGAAGCGGCGCATGATGTGCCCAGCCTTGCCTACTTCAGAGTCATCCTCGTTGAAGGTCTGGCAGTTGTCAAATACCAAGAGGGCATCAGCCGCAAACTCCTCTGAGCTGGTGTACCTGGACAGGGCAGGGGCAAAGCTGTGAGCTGGGTAGGAGTTGCAGCAGTAGCAAATACCAGGTGGATGCACCCACATCTACTTACCCTCCCCTGAGCAGCCGCTCCCGCATGGTGGAAAAATCCATAGGATTTTTGATGATGCGCCGGTACCCACTCACCAAACGTGGGTTCACAGGCTCTAGGAAAGGCCAGGCTGCATCATGGGACTCCATCTCCATCAGGATGATCCTATCATTACAGAACAGTGATGGCTCCATCTCAGAAAGCAAATATACTGACCCCTCCCAGCCCTTTCCTCTGGCAGAGGTAGGGCCAACTGTCCCCCCAGGATTCACTCAACTCACTCGCAAAATGTGAGATCACTGTGGTGGTTCCGCATTGAGAGTCGCCGCCGCTTGGAGGGGGACTGCCCCTCTTCTGAGTACCGAGGCCCTGCTGCTGGGCTTTCTCGACCCCTCAACAGTACCCGGCGTCGGCGGCCATCACCCTCTGAGAAGTTCAGCGAATAAGCACTTTTCCGCTTCTGGCCTCGCTTTGGGAAACCAGGCTTCTGAGTGAATTCTCCCTCTACCTGCTTAGTATAGGAAACAAGTGGGATTAGCAACAGCTGGAGATGCACTGCTTGCCCTACTACAAGCTCTGCCTAAATGTGATTTAAGGCTTCAAAATACTATCATGCATAAGCCGGCACTGGTTTATTCACATAACCCAATGAAGTAGGTAAAAGGGAAGATACAGTTATTATCATTTTATAGAGAAAGCAATTAAAGCTATAGAATTTAAGTGACTTGTCCAAAAAAGGACTTAGAACCCAGGTCCCCTAATACCCAGTCTGGGACTCTTTCCAAGAAGACGAGAGATTGAGCATAATCTCTGATTTCTGTTTGAGTGTGGGAAAGAAAGAGCAGAAGCCTCACCTGAGCCAAACAGACAGTACAAAACCAATCTCCTTCTGGGACAGCCTCCATCTTGGGACGATGGCAGTAAATGTGGCAGCCACGGTCACACCCATCACAAAGCAGAAGAAACTCATCATTGTCACCCTTCCGGCAGACTAGACACGTCTGGACCAAGGTTGTGAGGAGGCAGAATGAGCTCTCAAGCCTCTACCTGCCAGTGACCCCACCCGCCCCTGCTGGCTGGCCCCTCAGCCTTTCCAGGCTCTCTCAGCCTCTTACCACTTTGTTGACAGACTTCTCCCAGGCAATGGACCTCTCCAGCTGGCCCAGGCACAAGCACACCTGGGCTGCGCTCCGGCACCGCTCGAGGGTCTGGCGCCAGACACGAATGCGAGGGGTGATCTCGTATGATCTGGAGGGAGAAAGTGGTGATCTTTGGATGAGGAGCAGGATCCACTAAAGAGGGAACTTATCCCTTTCTCTCCAAGACCAAGAATGGAGGGTGGGAGTCACTCACATCTCTGTAGTGGTGCCCTCAGGGGCACCATTAGGTGTGCTAAGCAGGGCCTTCTCCAGCACAACCTCATGAGTTGGCCAGAGGGGCTCCCGCAGGTACCGCCGTTCTACATTCTGTTCCAGGGCAGCCAGCCGCATCACAGCCAGGTCCAAAGGGTTGGTAGTTTTACGCTGAGGTGCCAGTCCTTCCCTGCCTCGACCTCGCCAGGTGATATCCTCCTGGGAGCTGGAGAGGTGCTCACAGTAGGCCAAGTCTTCACGGGTAGAGTCCGGGCTAGGACATGTCCAGCCCTTGAGTTAAGAGAGAGGAATAAAACTCACTGTAAAAGGAGGAAAATTTGGCATAGGAAAAAACCAAAACAAACAACAACAAAAAAAACATGACCCACTTAAGGTAGGTCACCTGTGAAGTAGGGACCCAGGGTTTTTTCTAACAGGGCATAAGGGACTAATGCTTTTCCCTAAACAACTTCCTACACAGTGCCAATCCCACCATACCCGAATCTGCAGATCAGACATGATAACCCGCTGCTCCAGATCCTCGACCCATTGAAGCACTGCTAGGTCTGTCTCATACGTCTTCTCTTTGGGGGACCAGCTCATCATGCCTTCTTGAAAGACAGGTAGTTGCCTGGGCTCAAAGATGGGGTCTGAGAAGAGAGGTGGCAGAGAGAGAGGCCCATCAGGCTGTTGTCCACAGCAGCAGCTCAGTGCTTACCCTGGGCTCTTCAGCTCAAGCTGGGTGTAGGAGTGTATTTACCAGCTGAGGGCCGTAGGCAGACTTCCTGCAAGAAGTCCCTGTGCTTGTTAAGGTGTTTGTGAAGTGCCTTCTCCCGGATACCTCGGGGATGTAGGGCCTTGAGCATGGCATCCAACGTTTCAGGATCTCGTATCCACCACCAGCCTGAGCACATCTCTGTGAGCGGATGAAATATATGTGGGGTGCCAGCTGTGAAGCACTGCCCACACTGGATACCCCTACTCCACTCTCACTCCAAGATCACTCACCAGGTGGGACAGGCTGGGCTGTCAGCTGGGTTAGGTAACGCTGTTCCATTTGTTTGAAGAACTTACTGGGAGGTCTCCCTCTCCGTTTGGGCTGTCCCAGCCCTGTGGGACTCTGTGGCATTTCTCCAGGGTCTCCTGCTCGCCTCTTAGGGGCCAACCCAGCCAAGGGCGTGGAAGAGAACTGCACTGGAGAACAAGGGTTGGCAGCACTGGGTCTATTTATCTGTGAATAAAATGAGACATAAGGATGTTTTCATGTTTATAGGTTGCCTCAACTTCAGGCAGCAGCTCCATACCCAGGCAATGGTGCCTGTGGCAAGATGAAATCAAGTGCATACTACTAATTCTGGCTACTTACTGGCTTGGAGGAGGCAAGCTGCTGAGGGGAGGGAGTGGGTTGGTCCTCAGAAACGGCAGGGGGTGGTGTAGGGGCAGCATTGCAGGGCATCTGGGCTGAGATGTTAAACCAGAGTGCTTGAGGATCAGGGCTGGATTCTGCCTCATCAGGCTCTGGCTCCTCCAGGGGCTGTGATGGAGCTGGGTCTAGTTTTCCAGGACTGCTATCAGGCGTGAGGACTGAGCTGCTCAACAGGGAGCTATGGCTCTGAGTCTGGCTCAGCCAAGACAGGAAGGCTGACTGGCTGAGGTCATGCTGGCTCTGACCCAGTGACAAAGGGGAGCCTTCTTGCTCCAGGAACCCCTTATGGGACTGAGGATGGGACTGAAGCTGAAGCTGAAGCTGAGGTTGGGGCTGGGCAGGAGCATGAAGCTGAGCCTCAGGCTGAAGCTGGGCCTGGGGCTGTTCTGAATCCTGACCCCTGACAGGGGACTTAAGGTGCCTAGGTTGCATAGACCCAGGCTTAGTTTTTCGAGGTCGGCCTCGGGCCCGGGCAGGAGAACTGGCAGTGGTGTTGGAGCCAGCTAACTCCATCTTCATAGAGAAGAGGACAGGGTTGAGTGACGTATGGGCTGCCACTTTTAAGGAGTCAGTTTCCTTCTTTATCACATCCTCGGGAACTGTAAAGAGAAGTAAAGAGCTTAAGACATATGCTGACATACAAGGGAAAAGTAAAAGGGTGTATAAACTTAGGACCTATGCTTTCTTTTTCTCTTGGACTTAGCCCCCCTTTTTTGAGATTCCACTGGGAAGAGCTTACATACCAATGAACACAGTATCTGGGGAAGAAACACTATTCTCCCAAGTAATCAGCAGCAGCAGCACAATCATAAGCTAACGTTTATTGCAAACCAACTATAGGTTAAGTATTATTCTAAGAGACTTAACTCATTTTAATCCTCTCAGTAGCCTCATGAAGTACAAATACTATTATTATCTCAACTTCACAAATGAAGAAACAGAAATATACAACTGGAAATGGCAGAGCAGGTGGGTAGGCAGCTTTACTCTAAAATCTGTGCTCTTAACCATTACACCATATTATCAGAAAATGAAAGAAGCCCAAGACTACTAAGGAAAAGGAATTATTTAATTCTTGTTTGATAGGACTCAGAATCCACACTCCCACAGACACACCTACCTAAGTTCCCCTCTGTTCCTTCTACAAAGATACCAGCCAAATATGGCAATACCCAGTAGCGACGTCTGTAGCGGTCTTGACCCAGGGAGACCGCCCGAAGCATCTGGGATGAGTGAAGCAGCTTTTTGCGAAAGAAAAGCTGACGCTGGGTAGACAATGAAAATTAAGATGAATAAACGCATTTCTAGAGTGACAGTGGTGAATTCATCCAGTATATCGGAGAAAGGCAATGGCTCTCAGCCCCTCTATAAAAGTGATGCCATCTGGGCCTAACTCAGAAGGTGATTAAGGTCAAGAGCGGTGGCTCACACCTGTGATCCCAGCACTTTGGGAGGCCAAGGCAGGTGGATTGCTAGAGCCCAGGAGTTCCATGTTACCAGCCTGGGTAACATGTGGAAACTCTGTCTCTATAAAAACACAAAAATTAGCCAGGCATGGTGGCTCCCGCCTATAGTCCCAGCTACTTGGGAGGATCACCTAAGCCCAGGAGGTTGAGGCTGCAGTGAGCCATGATCGTACCACTGCACTCCAGCCTGGGTAATAGAAACCCCATCTCAAAAGAATAAAAATTAAAATTAAAAAAATACGGTGATCGGCCGGGCGCGGTGGCTCAAGCCTGTAATCCCAGCACTTTGGGAGGCCGAGATGGGCGGATCATGAGGTCAGGAGATCAAGACCATCCTGACTAACACGGTGAAACCCCGTCTCTACTAAAAAATACAAAAATCTAGCAGGGCGAGGTGACGGGCGCCTGTAGTCCCAGCTACTCGGGAGGCTGAGGCAGGAGAACGGTAAACCTGGGAGGCGGAGCTTGCAGTGAGCTGAGATCCGGCCACTGCACTCCAGCCTGGGCGACAGAGTGAGACTCCGTCTCAAATTAAAAAAAAACAAAAAAACAAAAAAAAATATGGTGATCAATTCTTGCCCAGCCCATATCTCCAACTCTTGGGAGGTTAGAAGCACAATACCTTACTGAGTTTTTCTATCTGGCGCTCTAGCTCTGGGATGCTAGATGCTGTGGCATCAACCTGGGGAGAAACATGTGAGCATTAAGAAAAAGGAGGTTATCAGATTCAAGAAAGAGGAATCTATTTTCTAACTCCCACTTTCCTTGATCTTGGGCCAGTACCTCTCCATCTCTTCGACCCCTGCGGCCATGGACAGCTGCTGTAGACTCCTCTTCTTCCTCTTCTTCCATGCCACTAGTCTCCTCCATGATCCGAGAACTGCGCCTCCGTCCCAGGCATTCCTCTGGCCCTTCCATCTCTACCTCAGACCGCCCAGTTCGCTTGGCCAGAACAGTTTTCAGTCTTGAAACAGATGGAGAAAGATGAAGGGATGGCCGAGCGCAGTGGCTCACACCTATAATTCCAGCACTTTGGGAGGCCAAGGCAGGCGGATCACCTGAGGTCAGGAGTTCGAGACCAGCCTGGCCAACATGGTGAAACCCTGTCTCTACTAAACATACAAAAATCAGCCAGGTGTGGTGGTGGGCACCTGTAATCCCAGCTACTTGGGAGGCTGAGGCAGGAGAATCGCTTGAACATGGGAGGCAGAGGTTGCAGTGAGCCGAGACTGTACTATTGCATTACAGCCTGGGCAACAGAGCAAGACTCCATCTCAAAAAAAAAAAAAAAAAAAATTAAGGGAAACTGGTGAGGAACATGATAGTGCCACAGAAGAAATACCTGGACTCCAAACCATCCTGGGCCCTGGTAAGGTCCCAAATCCAGGGAAGGGGCTAAAGCATCACATTTCACGCCAAAACCCTGGCTATGCTTCACCCACCCCACTTCTCTCCTCTCTGGGGCTCTACCCTCTGTCTGGTCCCTACCTCCGGAGCCGACCTTCAACAATCCACTTGTTTTTCCTGTAGCTGGACATACTCTCCAGAGTCTTGTCAATCTCACTGCAGGGGAATAGGGAATAGGATGAAGTGGCAGCACAAAAAAAGGGAAAGGAGGCTCAAGGGTAAAGGGGCTGCAGCTGAAAAAGGAGTTCCAGCCTAGAAACTAGATCAGATGAATGGCAGAGGAAGGCTTAGGCTCTCCCAGGGAGGGCACTGCAATTCAGTCCCAAGTCACTCCATATCTTCAGAACATGGCAGTGAACACACATTTCTGAAGACTTCTGGAAAGCCAGAAGTCCTCCATCCCATTCTGATGCAAGGCATACAATGACCATCCCCACTCCCAGCCTCTCACTTGATGATGAGGGTGGAGCCATTGAGCTCATGCACAAGGAAGGCCAGGACAGCAGCCTTCTGCTGGGGTGACTGGGCCTGAAAAGGCTGGGTGCGCAGGCGGTCACAGAGGGCTGGCTCTACTCCGTATGCCATAAGGAAGCAGCGCAGGATCTCCGACACATTGTCTCTTGTCAGTGGGATCTCAGACACCTTCTCCCCCAAGATCTTTAGGGACTGTGTGGAGGAGAGCATAATGGGAGTGAGTAGGGAAAGATGAACAACCAAGTTGGGTGAATGTGCAACAGGAAAATACACCAGAAGAGAACTATGGGGGTTAAGATAGAATACAAAAGACCACAAAAGAAAAGGAGTAAAATAAAGAAAAATAAAATAAGGAGAGAGGAATCAGGAAGAAAAAGAAATGGAAAAATATAAGGAAAAGAGAAACACTAAGTAGTTATATCTCCTTTACTTGTCCTGGTTACTTTGGGAGGGACTTGCACTCACCTGACAGTAGGAGGGCAAGCCAGGATCATGGAGTGCAGCCTTCAGCAGCCTCACCAGCAGGTCTTGTACCTCACCCAAGCTGTCGCCTTGACACAGGAGTCCCTCCTGCAGGACCCCCAGGCTAGGCACATCTTTGGCAGGATCAAAGCCCAGCACCTTGCCAAAGCTATGCAGGAACTCCACAATGGTCAAGCAGTCTGAGAAGGCCCCACTGGGCAATGTCAGACCAGGGACTCGTGAGAAGTCAGGCAGGGGCTAGAGAGATAAAAGTGTTCTGTTAAAATAAAACAGTTAACACTGTTTTATTTTTTAAAATAAAAGAGTTAACACTTTTATTTTTTAAAATAAAAGAGTTAACATTGTTTTATTTTTTAAAATAAAAGTTAACACTGGGGTTCTTCTTTTAATCTTTATGTAAAATTTTTTTTTTTTTTGAGATAGGGTCTCACTCTTGTCACCCAAGCCAGAGTGCAGTGGCATGATCTCTGCTCACTGCAGCCTTGACCTCCTAAACCCAAGCAATTCTCCCACCTCAGTCTCCCAAATAGCTGGGACTACAGGTACATGCCACCACACCCAGCTAATTTTCATATTTTTTGTAGAGATGAGGTCTCGCCATGTTGCCCAGGCTGGTCTTGAACTACGGGGCTCGAGCAATCTGCCCGCCTCAGCCCTCCCAAAGTGCTGGGATTACAGGTGTGAGCCATGGCACCCGGCCTTCCTTTAATCTTTAATGGAAATGTTTCTCCCCCATTGCAGAAGTCCCTGTTTTTTTTTTTAAAGGAAAGTCTTCCCAGCTGACCCAGGAACTGTTACTCTCTCCTCACTACCTGGTGGTCAGTCAGACACATATCCTCTGTTGGCTTCTTCATTTCCTCCAAGATCATCTGTTGCCTCTGCCGTTCCTCCAAGCGCCTCTGTGTGGCCAGGGTCTTATCTGCTTTACAGGCTGGCTTGGCTTTGGCCACCTCCTCCTTTTCCTTCATTTTTACCTTCTCCTTCTTTTCCCTCTTGACTTTTTCCTTCAGTTTTTCCTGCTTTGTCTTTCCCTTTTCTTTCTCAGCCTACCCAAGGAAAAGAGGAACCAGGAGTGCCATAAAGATACCAGTTACTATCCTTCCCTGTTCCCAGTCCTCCCAACCTCACAGCCCAGAAATCTCACTATAAAACAAGACTGATGTACGTGTCTTGCAAAATCAGTTTAGTGGCTTCAAAATTGTACTTGGCAAGTTTGTACATGCACCTACCTTGGATTTCTTCTTAGCTTCCTTCTGCTTTAAGCTCTTGGTCTCTTGTTTCCGCTTATTTCTGGCCTGTAAACCATAAGGGAAGTCATTTCTCCTCAAACTCTGAAAGCATCTCTGCTTGGGCTAGGATTCAAAAACAGACAAGGGTGCTGGGGAGGAGAGGTGAGAGATGGAATGAGGGGTTGGCAATGGATTAATTCTCTCACCCTAGAGATGCCCATGTTATTTTTGAACAAGCCCAATTCTCTAAATCAAGCGCAAGAAATTTCAGGGTAATGAAGATATACTGCTACACAGGGAGTGGTGGATGTGGGAGATGAAAATAAAACATGAAGTAGACTGTAGGAAAAATTAACCTACTGTGTCATCTCTCTGATGTCCCTCACCTGCCCTTGGATAGTAGTCTGACACTCTCCCCGTTGTACCTTCTGCCTCATCTTCTTCTTGCTTTTACCAATCTTTGCTTTATCTTCCTCATTTGATGTTTCTTGAGAGCAGAAAGAAAAATGAAACAAGTGAGGCAGGAAGGCAGTTCTCTAGCATCCAGGGCAACACATGCCTGTCTCAAAGCTGGCCTCCCAAGCAGTTCCCTGAATAATCTAGTTTTTTTAAGTATACATAATAAAACATTGGGGGGAAAAATGTAGGAGAGGCACCTGCTATGGGTGTGGCACAAAGAACTCAAATGACATCTGCCCAGAAGCACCAGCCCCTGGCTCCAATCAGACTGCTTTACAAGGTGTCCTGCTGATAGAAAAGAGGCCACAATGGCAGAGTAGCCTTGTAGCCAATCTCTATCCCAAGATACCTGACAAGAGCAGCAACCCACGGACTGATTTTAGAGCAGAGAGCAGAGAAAGGATATAGCAAGCCGAACTGTCAGGAAAGAGGGTAGTAGTTAGAAGCACTGATTAACCAAGGATGTGCCGGAAAAAAGCCCACACAGCGGACACCTCAAAAGAATCAGATCAACATTGACATAGCTATTGATCATGCTCAGCTCCATGTCTTGCTTCACTAAAAGTTCTGAATTTCTTCCTTCCGGAAGACTTGTGGAAGTATAATTCTGCAAGCAATAGAGTATTTCATAATTGATGTTTCTGACATGACTCTCTCTCTATATATATATATGTATGTGTATATATGTGTGTGTGTGTGTGTGTGTGTGTATGTATATACAGACACGGAGTCTTGCTCTGTCGCCCAGGCTGGAGTGCAATGGCACAATCTCGGTTCACTGCAACCTCCGCCTCCCAGGTTCAAGCCATTCTCCTGCCTCAGCCTCCTGAGTAGCTGGGACTACAGGTGTGTGGCCACCACGCCCTGCTAATTTTTTGTATTTTTAGTACAGGAGGGGTTTCACCGTTTTAGCCAGGACGGTCTCGATCGCCTGACCTCATGATCTGCTGGTCTCAGCCTCCCAAAGAGTTGGGATTACAGCAGTGAGCCACCGTGCCCGGCCCTGACATAACAGTATTTATTAATTTGTTTCTGGTATAGAAACGCCACCATATGTCTACATGACAACCCTTTAAGACAATTACGGGCAGATGAACTACCTAAGGCTTTGAATAAAATATGAGACTTGACCGGGTGCAGTGGCTCACGCCTGTAATCCCAGCACTTTGGGAGACTGAGGCAGGTGGATCACCTGAGGTCAGGAGTTCGAGACCAGCCTGACCAACATGGAGAAACCCCATCTCTACTAAAAATACAAAATTAGCCAGGTGTGTTGGCACACGCCTATAATCCCAGCTACTCTGGAGGCTGAGGCAGCAGATTCGCTTAAACCTGGGAGGTTTTAACTAGGGAATCGCTGAAACCTGGGAGGTTGCGGTAAGCCAAGATCGCACCATTGCACTCCAGCCTGGGCAACAAGAGCAAAAATCCATCTCAAAAAAAAAAAAAGAAAAGAAAAGAAAAAAAGGTCAGGTGTCGTGGATTACGCCTGCAATCCCAACATTTTGAGAGGCCAAGGCAGGTGGATCACATGGGGAATTCAACAAGGGTTAGAGAAACGCGACACATCACTCCGCGGCTAACAGGTGGGAAAACCTGTACTTCTACTAAAAAATACAAAACTTTGCCCCAGCGCCCGTGGTTGGGGGGCGGACGCCCCGCCTGTAAAAATTACCACTACTGGGGACGGCTCTGGGGGAGAGCAAGGCACGAATTGGCCGTGAAGACTTCCAGGGGCAGGGGGGCCCCTTGCCAGTGGGGAGCCCCCCAAGGATTCCGGAAGCCCACTTTGCACTTCCCGACTTGGGTTGAAGAAGGGTGAGACTCCGTCTTCAAAAAGAAAAAAAAAAAAAACGGAACCTTGGTTTCTAAGGGTACCTTTCGGTTTTGACACATGATCAGACTTACATGTCTGAGTGAGATCAAGATAGTATTTTTCCATTCTTCACGTACACAGGGTAAGCATATTTACCTGAAAAATTTTAGGGGTCTATTTCTCACCCGTCATTCCCCCCCCCCCCCTCACACAGTCGCTTCTCCCCTTCTCTTTCCTGTCTTTTTCTTATTATCTAATCTTTGAAGATGGGAGTTTTTTTTCCTCCTGTTGCCACCCAGCGCCTGGCAGCTGCGGCTGCATCCAAAACTGCAATCGCGGTTCACCCCCAAAGTAATTCCCCCCCTGAGCATCAGCCCTCCGGGAGGCTGCTTTGGGGACAACTAAGCAGGCCCCCATTGAACCCCCCCACGCCAAGGCCTATTTTTTTTTTTTTTCTTTTTTTTTTATTATGAGATGGGGTCTTCCACCCATGGGTTTTGCTGGGAACTACGTCTCAATTCTCTTGACCATCAATGAAATCTGGCTGCCTTGGCCTCCCACAGGGGTGGAATCCACAGGCGTGACATGTGGCCGGGGCCCCTATTTCTTTTTTTTAGAACGGGGTTCCTTTGCCCGCTGTGGTTTGCCCGTTTTGGAGTGCCATAACCACCAACCGGCCAGCTTTACTGCGGCCCCTCAAAACTTCTGGGCTTCAAGTGATTCCGTCTCTGCCGTGACTCGCCTCCCTAGGATAGCGGGGATTCATTAAGCCCCACACACACTCGGCCCTGGCTCCCCACGTATTATCTTTAAATTTCCAGATGTGAATTCTGACTCCCATGGATCGTAAAGATCGAGGTTAGGGTGGAGGGTAAAACAACTGGACCATAATGCCAGATAGGGGAGCTAAAGATGGAAAGAAAAGGGCCAAGGGAATTCCTCTTCTCATGCGGCTTAACAATCCCTGGGGCAGACCAAGGGCCTTTCAACTGTAGCAGCACTCAAGAAGGAGTTGGGCTCGGAAAAGAAAGCAAATTTCCCAAGCGCTGGGACCTAGACTGCACTGATTTCAAGAGAGCTATTCAAGAATTCGTGTCTTCCCCAGGAATTGTTAATCCACGCTCCTGGGAAAAATCCCCAGGTATGCAATTCTTATTCACATTTTTTTAGAATACCTTCACGGAGGAAAGGTCCGAATTCAAGTAAAAACCCACGGTCCCTTGGGGGGCCTTCCGTTTTTTTTTCGTTTAGGGGCGGGTTTTAACTGCGGTCTGGTTCTTTGTTCCCAACAGCTCACGTATAAAAAATGTTGGGACTTAGGTTGGGGCCCGACTCCGCCCGTTTTTCTTGGGGACCCTTCTTAGTCTAGTCTTATCGTTTTTTCCGTCGAA